GGGGGGGGAGCGGAGGAGCGGCCCTGCTTTGCGTCTCCATCCGCTTCAGAGGGAGCGCTCAGCCCCCCGGACCCCCTGTGCTGTTTGCCGTGAGCTGAGGGCTCTGCGGCCCCGGGGATGGGGACGAGCCACACCGGCTGAGGCCGGGGACCCTGCTCCCCGCTCTGGGCCCGCAGGACGGGCGGGGTTCGGCCGCGGCAACGCAGTCCTCGGAGCATTCGCCTCCGCCTGGCCGCACCTTCCACGTCTCGGCTGGTTGCAGACACGCTTGCTGCCCACCGTTTGTTGGTCACTGAGCAGAGAGCCCAGGTGCGGAAGGTTCTGGACTGGCCTGCCTGGGCTCTGCGGGAGTCAGGCACGCTTCCACCCACCCCTGCCCGTGCAGGCATGTGGTTGGTGGGGACGTGGACGCCCCGTGGCTCTGGGGCCCACCCCGACCCCCGAGCTGGGGACAGGCTCTTGTCCTCGGCACCTGCTTCTGGGCCTGGAGCAGGCAGGCTGGTGCCCCGTGTTTGCCCCGCTCGGCGTGAGGCGCTGGGGGAGGCTGCAGGCAGGACAGGAACATGTGCCCGCATGTGACACACGTGTCCCTTTTCTTTTAAAAACATTCTCGGGTCATTGTGTGGAAATCAGCCCCAAATGCTTTGCAAACGGGAGGTCCTCCCAGGTCAGAGGGGCCAACCCGGGGTCGGGGCTCCTGTCCGACCAGCACCCCATGGCCCTCCGGCCTGCACCCCTTCTCGGGCCGGGGCACCGGGTTCTGGGAGGAGCCGCCCGCGGCCATGTGCAGGCAGCCCCGTCCCCGCCCCGGCCCCAGGATCCGCCGCCCCAGCTCAGAGCGCTCCGTGCGGCCAGGGTGTCAGGCTCACAGGACATCTGCCTCTTGAGGCCTTTATTCTTTGAACAGGAGGATCTGCGACTTTACATGAGGCTCCGCCTGGATTTTCCTGTGTGTGTGACCCTGGCGGTGGACGCGGGGCTGTGGACGAGCGAGCGTCCTGTGAGTCTGAGCAGGTGGCTCCGGGACCACAAAGTGTTCTGTCTGCATATGATGTGTTCAAACGGGAATAAAGATGCCGTGAACCCCCAGCCTCGGCCTGACTCAAGGACTCTCCTCGGAAAGCGGGGGCGCCCGGGGCCAGGCGTCTTCTGTCCACGGAGGCCGGGTGACAGCTGAGGGTGGGGACCCTGGGCTGTGTATGTGCGCGGCACGCAGTCTTGAAGCCCGGGAGGACCTCTCAGGGAGACGGACGTTCAAGGGGGCGTGGGAGTCTGTCGCACTCGGGCGGGACCCCACACCCCAACACTGCACTGTTGGGGGTCACGTCCAGGCCAGCTGGGACAGGGGGCCTCCCCACCGTGCCACAGCAGTCAGGTGCCTCCCGGACCCAGGACGTACCCGTCCCTGCTTCCCAGGCCCCACCCTCGTGGCCCCATGAGCCCCAGCTTCTCGGCTGCTTTTAGAGTGCCCCGCGCCCCTCGGACACCCCACATCTGCTCCTCCCCCCGCGGTGGGGACTCCCCAGGGCAGCTGTCTGCTCTCTGCCGTCTTATGCCGTCCACTGATGGGGTGGGGTCAGGTGCTGTCCCTGTGGGGGACAGGAGACCACGCCGGGTGACAGCACTCACGCCCTCCCCGTGACTGAGCGCGGCCCTGAGCCGGGGCTGACGCCCAGACCCTGTTGCAGGCTTGCGCTCGCAGGGGACACGCAGCGGCCTCCCCGTATAGGAGGTGGAAGGTGCTGGTGCCCGGTCACAGCTCAGAGCTGCTGACCACTGTCATTTGTAGTCACGACTCGGCATTTGTGGGCCAGCTGTTTGCTCCTCAGGCCCATTTTGGGGTCTCAGCCTCCACAGATGGCTCACACCCTGGAGGTGCTCAGGTGCGCCCCTGACCACCTGTGCCCTTGCGCCTCACCCCGCCAGGCTACCTGGGGAGGCCCTGCCTGTTGGCCCCGCTGCCACATGGAAAGTGCCAGAGAAGCTCTCGGGGCAGCCGGGCCCCAGCAAGGCAGACCTGCTGGGGAGGGATGAGGTTCCAGGAGGCGGGAGAGCTCGGAGGGATGGTTCCGAGCCAGGGCTTCTATGCTCCTGTCAGGTCCAGCCCTGAAGTGGGAGGAGCCCCCTCTGTGTTTGAAGAGACTGGTCCTGCCTCTAACGTGCCTGGGCCTCAGGGTGCCGTCTACCTTGAGCTTGACGTTTCCTGCTGGACCATGGCCAGTGGGTGCGCTGTCAGAGCCACCGTTCCGTGAAGCTTACTGGAGACGTGGGCCGCCCCTGCTCCGTGTCAGGCAGGGAGCCCCCCTCAGCCTCCCTGACCCTGCCCCACCCCAGCGGCCCCTCCCGGCCTGCTGCTACGTTGGCACCGTGAGGTCGCGGCCACCCAGGGGTCTGCCCCGCTCAGCCCCCAGGCTTGTCTCCCTCGTCCAGCAGCCCCACCAATCAACAGAGGGCGGCCGGGGAGGGCTCCCCGCCACTGTGTGACCAGGCGCAAAGGATCTAACCCCTGAGCCCATCTCACTGACAATTTGAAGCTGATTATTTACTTAGGGAAAAGACAATACATCCAAATACATTCCAGACAAATGGGTATAAACATACAAACAAAAATTCCCCAAAGTGCTCAAAATACAAAGAGATATCTTTGTACGAGGGAGTGGCCACAGGCTTTCCTGCCGTGATGCCGGTGACCACATGGTCCAGGGAAAGGCCGATGCCCGCGGAGCAAGCCGAGCAAGCACGTGAGACGCTCGCGTTGCGGAATGCTTACTGAGGCCTTGGAGATAGCGCTGGAAACAAAAATGGGTGCAGCACAGAAAGCGGGCGGTTCCCAAAGAGGAGGGCGCAAGGGTCGTGAAGACTCGCTGGCCGTTAACAGTCGAGCGGGGGGCGGGCGGGAGACATGGCGCTCCAGCAGCAGTGGCAGGTGGCGTGGGGCCCAGATGGTGGCGGCTCGTTACACGACGATGGAAAACCAATCCGTCTTTATGGTTTTCTGCGGAGAGCTAGCAGTAGTTTGTGTTGCTTCTACTTTTAGACTCAAGTGTAACGCTCAGAAGGGGGCACCTCACAGATCTAGTGCCCAGTGAATGATCCCAGAGTGGACACTGGGCTCCACAGCTAAGGTCAAGGTGAGCCCCTGGCCTGCACCCCGATCTCCCGGGGGTCCCTCTCCCCAGCGTTCATGCCACCTCGACTGTCATCTGAAGGAATCGCACAGGACCCCGCGTTGTGAACCACCCACCCTGCCCCACGTCCTGCTGTGGACGTCCACATCTAGGATGGCGGTGGTTTGTTCCTCCCTGTCAGCGTCACTTTCCCCCTTGTGTGGATGGGTCACAACTGGTTTGGCTTGTTTCCAGCTTGGGGCGGTTGCAGATCCCGCTGCTGTGAACATCGCGTACGTGTCCCTTGGCGGATACGTGCCCCTCCGTTCTGCCGGCCTGGAGGGTGTGTTTCGGCCACTCTCCTAAATGGTGGCAGACTGTTTGCCAAAGTGGATTTCCAGTTTACATTTACACCGCAGGGCTCGAGGGCCCTCGTTCGCCCACATCCTCACCCACACCTGGAATGGTCTTAGCCCTTCTTGGGGAGGGGGTGTGTCGTGTCACTGCGCTCGACCCCAGCCTCCCGCACGTCTCCCCGTGCTGGGCAGTGTCTCTTTCCGTCCTGCTGCAGGAAGAAAGAGACCTACAGAGGACGCCTCGTAGTGCTGATATCCTGAGTGCTTTCTCGATCATTAAAGTTCTTCAGACGTGACTTTAATGACTGCATAATGCTGTCGTGTGGATTAACATAACCCATCCCTCCCAGACTGTCCATCAAGTGGGGTCCAGCTTCCTCCCGTTGCCAGTGATGCCGTGATGCACATCTACATCTCTGCGTGCTTTTCCAGCATGGATTTCGAGTAGAGGTGTCCCCTGCTTCTCAGAAGTTCGCATTACCCCACCTCACTTTCACGGAAAACCCACGTTGGTACCTGTTTTCTCTAACTGGAAGAAATCCAGAGAGGAGTGTCGCTTTTATGAACAAAGGCAAAAAGGGAAAACGGCATTCAGCGTTGGTTCCCCAGCGAGCTGTTTGAGACACAGCGAGAATGCTGGCGCCCGGCTCTTTCCCTACGACCACGCTCAGCGGCTCTGGTCTGGAGAGCTCCACTCCGTCTGTGAGCGTCAGTGCTTTATCTCGAGTTATTCTGTGCATTGTTAGCAAGATGTGCTTGCCCTAAGGTGTCGGAAAAGCCTACGAGAGGTGGTATTTTTGGGGTCCAGGAATACTCATCTTTTCAAATAAATTAATATTGAGTGCCTCTTTCCTTTATGCCTCTTTGGCTTAGGGAAGATTTTAGGAATGCTCCACTTTCGGATAGTGGGGGACCCTGTAAAGAGATCATCCGGTCCTTAGTGGGGAGTGGGTGAGTTGGCCCTCCCGTCTTCACGGACCCGCGGCTGCAGACCTGCCCATCCGGGTTACTCGGGAATGTTTTAGAAAATGCAAGTGTAGGAAGCCATTTAAAACGTGAAGGGTAGACGTAGAGTGTAGGACTTCGAGGAGAGGGGAAAAGAAAGCAAATGAACAAAACTGATCAAGTCAAGAGAAGCTAGGAAAGAGAGTT